TCTGATCCATAAAGGTCAAAGCTGTACAGAAATTCCCTTCCTTCCCTGTTCCAGAGCCAGGAGTCCACTCAGAGTGTTCCTGCTCTTCTTGGGCTTCTTCCTAAGCTCCCCCTCAGTGTTCTGGTGGTCTGGGCATTCCTGGTGTGGCCTCCTGCACTCGTGTTCTCTGAAGGGGATGGTAGAAATGTGCACTTAGGTGTCTGTACCTGGTGACCAGCAGTATCAGATGCTGCCCAAAACAGGTTTCTCCTTTATTTTGAAAGCTAAGCCTAACACTGGTAACTGTAGAAATGGGTAAACTCCCTTTTTTGCTACGTTTATGGCTGCAGTAGGATGGTTAGTGTTGGCACAGCTCTACTTGGTTCACAAATAAAAGTACTAATTATCCATTCAGTGGAGCTCAATAAAAGGGATTTCCACACGCTGTGCAAGAGCAGAAAAAAAACCCCCAAAACCTAATTCCAGAATTAAATTCAGTTTGATATAAAAAAGATAATGAAGATTCTAAAGCTCAGAATAATGACATGTCTGGTAGGGAGGATTTACTCCTGATTTTATGCCTATAAGTTCATCCCTGATGCACCAGAAGACATGGACACCCGGTATGAAAAGCTGCATTACACATTTGTGCTCCCAGCAAGTCCTTATTTATGGCAGTTCCCTTCTAATGAGCGCTGAAAAAATTTCTGATGTCCTCTCGTGTCCTCTGGAGTTGAGCTTCGCTTGATCTAAAACAAAAAGATGTGGAGGAACTATAAAAATAACCCCATCTGTTCAGTGGTTCTTGTGATCTGCCTTTGTAGTGGTTATTGTGTGTGGGGTTGGGAGGAGAGCAGAAGGCAGGGCTGTGTCTCTGTTCCAGTCAGACCAGTGCTCTCCCAGTGCCCAGTTCAGACCCTCACACTCCACCCCCCATGTGCTTGCCCAGCCCCTGCTCCCCGTTTTCCTGGCTTGGAAAACACGGAGAGCTGCCAGGACTCCTCCAAAGCAAGCTGCTGGTGATGCACCCAGCCTGATTTATTGATATCTCATTTTTCAGATTCCATCCCCATTGTGTTTCCATGGTGCTGAATTTTTACCTTTATAACTTTATCCTGTGGGTTCGCTGCGAGTGAATGTTGTTGGTGTGGGAGTCGCTTCCAGACACCAGATTTGCATCATTGCTTTCTGTTTAATAAAACAGGAGCTCAGGATTTTGCTGCCATTAACACTCTGCTCAGCTTTGCCCCCTCCTCCCTTTTTTCTCTCTCCTCTTTCTAGTTTTTCTCTTACTGCCCCGGGGTGTGTGGAATTGCACAGTTCTTGCTTCCCAAAGGCGTGTGGTGCTGATGGGTTTGCACAGATGCTTTCAAAGTATTAAAAATATTAAAAATATTCAAACATTGCAATATAAGATTATTTCCAGGTTCCAGGGTAATTGGAAATGCCAAATTTGATAAGGAAGAGGAATTAAAATGAGAGTCCCACCTTCCTGCATCTACAGTGAGGTGGAGGCACCGGATTTTGGATTTGTCAAACGTGTAAGAGCCCAAATCACAACTGATTTAATTGTGCTGTTGTGAATTGTGTCGTCCTGTCTTAGCTGAAGTTGCTGTGGTTGTGTTTAAGCTGTTCCTCCAAAGGATTTGTTTTGTTTTCTTCTGCCTTCGTTCTTTGTGTCTCATTATAACTTCAGTCAGCTCTTGTGATTAGAGCGATTGTACTCGAGGCTTGAGGATGTCAGAGACAAAACAGCACAAACAGAGCAAGAAAAGCAAGGCCCTTAAAGGGTCAAATCACTGCTAAGCAGTGATTTGACCCTTTAAGGGCCTTGCTTTTCTTGCAAGCTCTGGGTGTTGCCAGAGGAGCTGTGGCTGCCCCATCCCTCGAGTGTCCAAGGCCAGGTTGGACGGGGCTGGGAGCAACCTGGGCTAGTGGAAGGTGTCCCTACCCATGGCAGGGGATGGGATGGGATGAACAAGTCTGGGATTCCATGATTCCTGTGTTTTTCTCACAGGCTTGATGAGCTCTGTGCCACACTCCCCTGGGGGCTTTCATGGATTGCAAGGGGCCACACTCCTGACCACAGTGGTTGTCTCTAAAGACCCCATAAATATCTCCACACACAAAGATGAATTTATGTAGCTTATGTACCTCTGGAGTATTTCAAAGGCTGTTTTGTGATTTGCTCTATCTGAAGGGATTTGGGGCTCTGCAGATTTCTATTTATTATCATTTCATACAGACTATTAACTTCTGAATGAAACCTTCCTCACTTAGCAGCTTAATCTCTGCTAAGATATTTTTACTGGTGGTAAATGCTGCCCACACATAGGAAGACACAATTCTGCCCTAGACAGCTCTCAAAAGAAACTTAAAAGTGTATCAAGAACATGTAATACAAAGGGCAATGCTTTAATTACCAGAACTCCCAAGAATGCAGCCGGGCTAGAGGAGGAGGCAGCGCTCAGAGGGTGGGATTAGCCTTGTTTGTCTGGAGATCAGAATCAAATGCTGTTCAAAGTCCTGCATGAAGAAGAAATGGATGATGTCCTTATGATCTCACTGGGAAAGCTCGGCGGTCACACCCCGGGTCAGATTCTCTCTCTCTTGTATTTCCACAGATTAATTCCTCTCTCTTTTTTTCCTTACTCCATCTGAAAATTACAGAAGGTAGTAATTCACACATTAGACTTTCTGATCTCTGGTGTGCACTGTGGAGGTGCAAAGTATTGCTACAGCAGCATAATTTATCAGCATTAAAATTTCTGACATCTCATTCTCCCAAGGAAGATGGCAATGAAAATGGAAAATGGCTCAGTGTGTTCTCCTTCTGGTGGCAATGAATGTAAAAACAATGGGAAACAGAAGGAAAGTAATGTCTTACTGCAACCCTAAATTCTAATTTCCAAATCCTGCACGAACCATGGAACAGTTATTGAGATGTGAAACACAGGATGGAGGATGAAGGCTGTCATCATTTGCTGCAGAAAGCGTTTGGGTTTGTCCTTAGCAACTCCCTGTCCACAGCTCAGAGCTATTCCTGGACTGAAGAAGTGGCTTGATTACACGAGGACATATTTGGGGGTGGGCTGGCGGTGATTAAGGGAGACCAGTCTCTCACTTGTGGGCCAAAAGCTGCTCACCAGTGGCATTTAGGGAAAAATCGCATGGCTGGCCAGTTGTGTGGCTTTGATTTGTCCTTCACAGCAAGTGTTGGCTGCTCTCCACAGCAGAGAGCAGAGGCCTGACCCAGCCAGAGGAACAGGAGCATGAAGAGTTGATATGAGTATGAGGCTGATAGCATGTTGATATGATGAGTATGAGGCTGATAGCATGTTGATATGATGAGTATGAGGCTGGCTGGGGTCTGAGTACTGAGGGAAGTCTCTCAACAATGCTCTAGATAACGCAAATCCTCACGTGTGCTGTTTCACAGTCATGCTCCCCTGTACTATAAAAATCCTCTGCAGGTATTTCTCGTGGCCAGAACACTTTTGAAAAGGCCTTTGTTGTCTCAGGCGTTTGCTCTGTGCAGCCTGATGGGCTGTGTTACACACCTTGTGCTGTTCCAGTCATGCAAACAGCTCAGAGAAACATTCAGTGCCCGTGAATGCATGTTACATCCCTCCTTCTTAAGTAAAGTGGCACTTAATAACTGTGAGACACCTTTGGCTATCAAGATGCTTCAGATTCTCGGTGCACTTACAAACAGGAAAGTCACTTCCACAACAAGAGCTGCCCGGGGAAATTGTCCGACTTGAGAAAGACGTAATGTGAGCCATGAATATCCTGAGGGGTGGGGAAGGACTGTGTAAATGGCATGAACAAATGACAGGCTGGGTGGAAGTTAGACTGTGATTATCTTCCTGCAAGACATATAAGGGGTATTCATTTGTAAAAGGGAGCTGCTAAGGATCCATTCCTGTGCGTTGAGTGGAGAATCTGCTGAGGCTCCTGCCTGGAGCAGAGGGTGTGCTGTGGGCACCTCTGGGATGCTGGTATGGGTACCCAGTGGAAGGACACCTGTTCTTCTCACATTTCTTTCCTTAAGCATTTCAAAATCTGTGCTCAATCCAGTGGATTTCTTCCCTTTTCCTGAGGGTGAGGAAGAGAAGTGGCGTGTGCAGAACCTCGGGCTCTACAGGAGTTTGCTGAGGTGTTGATACAGAGCTGATGTATTTCTTTAGTAGCATGGTCTGTTAAAGGAGCTCTCCTTCAGGCTTCATCCCAAAATCCTGATTTCTCTTTAAAATGCTCCCTGGCTTTCTCTGGCCAGCGTGCTTGACCCTCTCTGAGCCAACCCTGCCATGCTGTAAATGCCGGCCAGCACAGTAGTGTTACACTTTTATTACCTTATTTAGCGGAGAGATTAAATGTAATGTTCAGATTATGTAGAACATTAACTCCTAACAATAAGCAAATAACACATTAGAAGCTTTGCTATTAAAACGTTTAGTGCTGGCTTTGCTGTGGAGCTCTCCAGGAGCCGTGACTTATGTTCCGTGAGGGAGGAGGCAGGAGAAGAAGGAGCTGTACGTTCAAGCCAGGGTCTCTTTCTGCTCTCACGGTGGTGCCTGTAGCCCTGAGGTCTGGGCAAGCTTTAGGGGAGATCTGTACATGTAACTGAAACACCTGAGCCCGGCCCTGCCAGCCATGGCTGGAAACCAGGGGGGCTCCGAGCAGGTAACGGAGCTCTCCCGGCGCGTGGGTGGCGTCTGGGATGGGGCGGCCGGAGCCCCCGGCGCAGCCTCTCCTCTGGCAGGAGCCGTGATGTGATGTGCTAGTCTTGTCTTTCAGACAGTATTTTTATGTGAGCTGATGGTTGCCAGGGCAACGGAGGCTTCGGGGAGTCTCGCGCCGCCGCAGCGCCCCGGCCTCGGGAGCGCTGGGAGCAGATGTTGGCTGGGAGCTGAGCGAGCGCTGCCGACACCGCTCCTGCAGCAGCCGGGGAGCACACCCTGCCCCGCTGCCCCGCTCCCTGCCCCGCCGTAATTCCCTCTTCTTGTCTCACCCCACAGGGGTTCCTCAGCCGCCGGCTTAAAGGCTCCATCAAAAGGACAAAGAGCCAGCCGAAGCTCGACAGGAACAGCAGCTTCCGCCACATCTTACCTGGCTTCAGGAGTGTGGACCATGAAAGGTAAGGGGATGCTCTGTGGGGGGGAGGTGTGGGACACAAGGAGGATGTTGATTTTCCCAGTCTCTCGTTAATATCTTGCCGATCTTATTCAGAGCAGGGGCCACATCCCTGATGGAAGTAGACTTGGTTGATTGCAAGAGGGGTAGTTTTAATTTGTCGGTGAGGATACGGTGCGAGCCCTCCCTTTTCAGGTTAAATACCGGGTGCAGAGCAGCCTGACTGCTCTGCTTTCTCTTCCCCAATAAATCCTAACTTGCTGCACCAGCGTATAAATAGCACAGAGATGCAGCAGCCAGAGCTGGTGCAGGTGAGGGAGGGAGGGCAGGGATGCTCCCACACCGGACTGCGCTGAGCACAGCTGGGTTACACACGGAACGAACAATAACACAGGGCAGTAACAACCATGATCTCCCCAAATCCCTCTGTCCCCCCTCACACACGTTCCCCCAGCACTGCCCTTGTCTGCCGTTGTTATATGGACATGGATTCTCAGCGTGTGGCCAGAGCTGCTGCTCCTGCCTGAGCCATGACAGGATCTCGGTCCGGGAGGGATGCCTTGCAGGGGATGTGCAGATGGATCTGATAAAGCATTTGCTCCAGCGTTGGAGCAAATTGCAAGCAAAATAGAAGAGAAATGAGACCTTGGGTTTGTTTAGGAAGTGTAGCAGCTCTTTAGTGGGTTTCTGTGTATTTCTGTGGGTGTGGGTTTCTGTCGGCGTGTGCATCAGACAGGCACCGGTCGAGGTAGATTTGTGTGTAGATTCACATGCAGATCAAGGTCGTGGTTGAGTAAGACAGATTCCATTACCAGCCACGGAAACAAACTGGTGCTTTGCTTCCAAAAGGAAGATCTTTCACCCTCACATGAATCATTCTGGGGAATGACAGAGATATTGAAGTGCCAGGAAAAGTCTGTGTGACAGTCACACTGCCGGATTGGCCGTGCCCTGATGTAACCAGTTCGTAGCAGAGGCATTTTATCATACCAGGATTGTACTTCAGACCCAGTGAGTAAATGCTTCACTTTGAAAAGCAGTGACAACTTCGACTTTGTTGTATCTGTACTCAGTCATTGGAGGGGCCGTGAGCTTTGAAGCCCACAAATAACAATTTGGACAAACAACCCTCTGGATTTTTCCTTCTCCAACCTACTGCAGCCTCCTGAGCTTTTTCCTTTCCAATTCTGCAAGTGAAAGGACTGTGCTGGCTGGTGCAGGGTGAGATCTCAGGGGTTACTCTCTGGGAAGACAGAGTTGATTTGATTCCCGTGCTGCAGTTTTCCCAAATGCTCGAAGTAGGGCACTGTGTTCCAGAGGGAAGCGAGTGGAGCCGGGCTTCTCCCGGGAATCTGCCCACGGTGCTGCTGCCTCGCTCACACAACAGGCAAATCAGGCAGTGTTTTCTTTCTACCTGGATGGGTTTTGTTTCGTTCAGTGATTTGGCAGGACAGGACCTGGGCAGTAACTGTTCTGGCCAGCCCTGCAGCCAAAGCCATTTTCCCAAATTAAACCGTGTAATTTCCCTGCCCTCCCAGCACAGGAGCCCGGAGCTGGCTGGGCTTTGGGAGAGCCAGATGTACTGCAACTTCTGCTTACAGAGATTCAGGGAGTGCTGTAGTGCATTTTCAGGGTGGCTTGGAGGAGAGGTGGCACTTGGCAGCCTCGAATAACACTCAAGGGTTTGCTTACATGAGCATGAAAAGCTGCATATGAATGATACCTTCATCATCCCTGGGATGGTACCTTCTGCTGGGCAGGTATCACTCAAAAATGCACTTCACCTGTGGTGCATGGACATGCCCTGGGCTGGAGGACACTGAGACAGGGGGTTTGACAGCAGGCTCTTAGTCCCAGGCTGACACAGCCGTGTCAGACCTGTCAGGTGAGCAGGAATCCTCTGCAGGAGAGCTCGGCCTTAGGGACTCTTGCTCTCAGAGAGGGGAAAGAAAAGCAGCAGCTGGGCCTCCCAGTCACACAGAGAGGTTTGGGTTTCAAAAGATAATTTTATCTTCCTGAGCATTCCCATCCCATTGTAGATGAACAATGTAGAGAAAAGGACTCGAGTCTCTCAGATCCCCCTTGTGCATTTTGTGCTGTGCTTGTCTTGCTTGTAATCCAAGAACTGTTTCCAAGAAGCATCTGGTATTGGAATATTTGCCTCTTAAATATTTGATTCTTGACTCCATCTTGTATCCAAGCTGATTGTTCATGAGCCACTCCTTTGCTCATGGAAGTCACCATTATAACACCGTTCTGTTCTGGACCTTGGTCCAATTTTTGCAGGAGATGCCACTGGAAAAATAAATAGTGCAGTCACAACACTCCAGGCTGCAATATTGAGCTACAGTAGATCATAAATGCTTCTGTTTCTTGGCTTCTGTGTATCTAAACTGGGGCTGTTCCTGCCTCTTAGTTTCTTTATTTTTCCTTTCCTTGCATGCCCAGTTTCTCCTGCAGATGTGTGTGAATATCTGAAATGTATGAGCTGTGCACATACATGTCCAGACAGATAACTGGGTGGATGTGGCTTGTGTGTGGAGCAGAGGACATAAACAAACATACCTATGCTTTTTATCCTGTGTTTGATTAATGCATGCATTGAAATGCATCCTGCCAATTTAAAATGGAAAAATTATTACCTCCTGCAACAGTGAGACAGTTGTGGAGGGTGAGGAAAACAAGGAAATAACAGCAAACATTGGAAAAGTCACAGAATGTCTCAGTGGCATCAGCTCACACCACGGCGTGTGTGTGTGTGCAGAGCCCCTGTGAGAAGCCTGGTTTAGTCAAACCTTGGCCAAATATTGTTTCCTCCATAAAGAACATCTGAGGAACTGCTCCAAGTGTTGTGTTTTAGGGAAATACCCTGGTAGTAGTCAGCAGAGCTTATGTTTGTAGAAAAAAACCCACGGTTGTTTCTCGTGGTGTTGGGTTTTACGTTGACTGAGAAGAAACCTCTTGTTTGGAAAAAAAAAGCTGGAATAAGGGTTTGCACTTCAGTAAATTACTGTGGGGTTCACAGGGATGTGGTTGGCCAAATTTTACCAGTCTTGTCCATACTGTTTTGTTTTTTTTTTTTTTTTTTTCTTGGACTTCTGTTACAGTAACAGCACTAAAATTATTGATTGGGAATAAAAGAAGCAAAATCAGAGCAAGTGTAAGTCACATTCTGTGTGAGAGGTGCATTAACCTGGTACAGTCAGAGGATGTAAATGTCAGATCTACAGGAGGATTGTGAAGTGAGTGCTCCTTTCAGTTCTCTGGCTGGTCACATTGCTTGTTAGAGCTAAAAAGGGTTCCAAAAAGTGGCTTTTTTGCTAACAATGTCTCCTGCCTCCTGATTTATTACAGCAGCTCACCAAGTTTTTATCATGGAGCACTGAATGTTTGGCTTTGTAGTGGCCTCTGGAATCATCCACAAATCAAGCATTTGGCAGATGGATTTTTCTTAATTGGGTCCACATTTCTCCTGCAAAATTTGTGATGGGGAAAATTCCTGGTTTGGACTCGGGGCAGAGGGAGCAGAGCCAGAGAAGCGAGGGAAGGTTGTTCTGCTCCAGTTGTTAACTGCTGGTGCTGCATTTGGGGTGGTTTTCTTGTAGTGGCAAAGGTGATTTTGCAGCAGCACGGAGAGGGCAGGACCACAGTCTGAGTTTGTGGGACAGATACCTCCAGGATTTGGTGGGAAACACTCTGGGGAGCTCCGAGTTCTGCTGTGGTCCCTGAGCTGATCGTTCCTGGGGACACTTTGCCTCAGTGCTCCTGGAATTCACTTCCTGCTCAGGGACTCTGGATTACCAACATTTCTGATTATTTTGCAAGGGTTTTTTGGTTTTTTTTTTCTATAATTCCAGGAGATAACGTTCTATTTAAGCTTTTATTGGCACTACAAAAGCCGGAGCATATGGTTGATTGTTAAATGAGCCTCAGCCTTGGAAGGGGTACAGCCCTGCATTAATAACAGACTTGCACTACTGAGACTTCCTCTTTAAACTACTTTTTGTCTTTAGCCCATCCAAAATTTTTGCCTATAGCCCACAGAGGGAAGAGGAACCGTACCAGTCACGTGCTGCAGCACATTTAATTCCTGATGTACTAATGGAGTGCCCAGGCTGCTGTCTGGGTTTTTCCATGTGCTCAGAGCTCATTTTGGTGCATGGGGGACTGATGAACTCCTGCAGCAAACTTAGGTTGGGAGTTCCTTGGGATCTAATTATCATTTGTTTATTCCTGACAAACCTGATATGCCAAATATTTTTAGGCACGATGAAATTGGTTTGGGTTGGAGGAGAATCTGGTGAGTGCTGCATGACGAAGGATGAAGTTGCTCAATTTTCTTTGGAAATGGAGAGGGGAATGACTCATCCTGCAGAACTAGGGCACTGGCAGACCCCAGAACGCATGGAGGGCTTTTAGATCTGTGTGAACAAGTGCTGGAGAGCTGCCTCCCCTTCTGGCTCCTTGTGTGGATGGCGTTATCCAGGGAAGCTTTTGAGCAGGAACACCTACACGAGGAGGGACCCCACGGAGGGGGACACCAGCAGCACTCTGACAACAGCACCTGGAACCTGCTTTTAATGATAATGAAGATATTCTGATGAATGACTGTTTATTTTGTGTAGGGAAACCATTCAGCACTGCTGACAGTGGCTGAAACGCAGAATAAAACATCTTGCAAAGTCAGGAGCATCCAGCAGGTACCAGTGTCACTTGTGCTTGGGTAGTGCCTGTCCTTACTTCCCTCCCAGTCAGCAGCTTAAAGATTCAAGGACAGTCTCAGAATTCAGTCTGGCCTCACACAGTACCTGCATTTATACCAAGGCTGCTTTGTCCTGCAGTATGCAAATCAGCCTTTTAATGGGGTTCCTTCGCAAAATATTTCTTGAACCAGAAAGTTAATTACTGATCTCTAATTAATGGCTGTGTTAGGAGGCTGGAAAAATCAGAGAGCTGCTTTGAAGGAGAGATGCAGGAGGAAGTCACCGTTTCTCCCCAGAACCT